AGCTGGAGGGACAGGCTGCCCAAAAGCTCATGCAGTTCAGGAAAAGAAAATGTGAAGTCTGGGATGTATTAAGGTCATTCATCAGTACAGCCTGGGGACTGACTGGTTGTGTAGATGTGTGCTATATATGAAGCAACGAGCTGAACATGAGGCAGCAGTGTGCTCTTGTGGTGATGAAGGCTAACAGCACATATGGTTTCTACATTAGGAAGAATATAGCCTGCAGGTCATAGCAAGGGATTATTCCCTCCTCGGCTATGTGAAGCTATGTCCATTTATTCTGTTCTCAGGCCCCCAATACAAAAGAGAGTCACAAACCAGAGGGAGTGTACTTACCATTAAAGGCCAACAGAATTATCACCTCATTTATTTTGTCATTTTGTTTTATATTTTATAACAAGTGCAAATGATACCATTCATTCTGATGAAAACAATTTTGCCTTTTTTTCTAACGATCTTTAGAAAGCGAAAAGGCTTCAGGAAAAGTCAATAGAGGCTTCCAGATCTAAATCAAAGACTCAAAATGGAGCAGTCCATTCTACTGATATTAAAGGCCTTGGTACAACAGTAAGTAATTCCCAATGACACTGGTTTATTGTCATTAATGTGTAAGTGGTTTGCCATTTATTCTGGCTCTATATGTACTGCTGCTTACTCTTTCTTTAATAATGTTTATGTTGGCAAGATCCAAGTATGTAAGAAAGAATCTGTTACTCCTGCAAAGTACCACTTCCCCTTCTGACATATCCTCAGACAACACATAGGTGGTCAGAATGAGATTCAGATCTGAAAATTACTCGTAAAAAGTGTGGGCAAGATGGTCCCTATGCTACTTGACATGTACCTCTTGTGGGACAGCCTTTCATGAACACCTTGCTGAGGTCAAGACCTTCTTTATTTATTGTTGAGTAAATCTGTGCAATCTCTAACACATCACTAGAGATGTCCTTTGTCAGTAAATGTGTTCCTGACTATCTGCAGATAAGCCACTCATTGCATCTGCAGAAAAGATTTATTTTTTTTCTCATTTCTGTCAGTTAATTGCAGTGTGAGAAAATAAAAGCCATTGCTAAGATCTTATTTGGGTGAAACAGCATATTTAAGTGTTGAATGTTGACAAACAAGTAAGATGTGGGAGAATCTCCACTCCAGCCAGTAACTGCTTTTGAGCTAGCTGGATGATTTCTGTGTAAGTATCACAGCTCAGGAGTATTTTAGGGGAGGGATAGCTTCTTGGTTGCTTATAAGTTACTCCTAATGTAAGGAGAAACAAGGATGAAAAAACATGAGGTGCTGTTTTCAAACTTGCACAAAGACAAAAGATATTGTATTATCATGGGCTGTCTGATGTGAATGAGTAATGACAACTAAGGTGGCTGCATCCTGAAAAAGAAAAGAGGCAGTTCACGTTTGATGTGAGGAAGAAAGGAAGAGCTTAACAGGAAGCAAGGGGATGGTCTCAGAGTGCTGGACTAGGATTTTTATCAAATTATCTTTGCCCTAAACTTCTGAAAGATATGGAGGGACACATCTGTGAAGGCAGGATGAAGTGTGCTGGAAAAATTATTTAGTTACCTGCATATATCAGTGAGACTGTTAATCAGCAATACTTTGCAGAAAGTATCTGAAAAATTTAGATATGAATATGAGTATTCTGGAAATTGTTAGTAGAGAGAAATACATTGTTAGATTTTATTTTAAAGACTTGGACCTCAAGCCAAGATTATTAATTTCTTTGGAGGGAGAGGATTTAAGAAGAAAATACCTTCATGGTTCTGTAATCAATATTTCAACAACTGTAGACAAAACCAAGGAAAATGTTAGTCCATTTTACAGAATAAGTGTATTAAGAAAACAAACACATCAACAACATTGGATAAAATTCCTTGGGTACATTGGTTAGAAGAATTACAAATTACAGATATGGCTGGCAATTTTTTTCACAGAAAAATCTTCCCTCCTGACTGCCAAACACCCTTAGTAGAGAGAGATGAAAATTAAGCTAAGATGGTTGTTGCAGACCAGTCAAGGTCAAGTAATCAAACATGTGAGCCATGTGCACTCAAAGAGTCACATATTGTTTGTTTTAGTAGGTCATGGTTAGAAGATAGAGGTGTCACTCAGGGATTTTTATTCAAAGACGTTAACTTATTCAGTGTAAAGAGTAGTGATGAGACCAGAAAGTGTATGTTTCTCTCAGTCTTGGAGTTTTCCTGGAGCAGTAGTTATAGACAATTGCATTCTGAGAGAAACAGGGTCTGTTCCCTTTTTTTTCTTTGAAGCGTTAATGTATAGTGAAATTCTGAAGACAAAAACTGTGGCTGATATTATATACAAATCCAAATAACATTGCACAAACTTGTATGGTAATAAAGGCTTGATTTTCTTTTCCTCTATTCATAAGATCAGACATGAAGGCAGAAAAGCAGAGTACATAAAGGTACCTGCTGAAAAAACACTCTGTCTTTTCCTGTGTATTGATGGGAACAATTTGTGAATTCAGTATAAAGGATAGTTTGAGTGGACTGCGGAAACCTCAGCATGCATCTCGACCAGTGAATAATATTTTTGAAAGACAGTTCATGATTTAACTCTCATTTTAAATGCTAACATGAATGTCAAGCAATGCATTTATTTTGTTTTCCAGATTGGATCTGGTCGCTTAGTAACTGTTGAAAGTACACCTCCTCAGTTAATTGGAGGGCCACTGGCTGTTACAGACCTTGCTGTTAGAAAGCCCTCTGTTTGTGAAGGAGCCTTAAAAAAGATCAAAAGAGTTAAAACGTTGGACTCAGTCAAGAAAGATTTGGTGCAAGTAGAATAGATAGTGTTCTGAACAGTGCTTCTAATATTTTAGTTAACTGTATGTATATTTTAGATACAAGATAAAATCTGTTTGTAATGCTTTGATGAATTGCATAGAATATGTTGAGAGTAAAGTTATATTTTGTCTTAACTAATATAAACATGGGGATGATTTATTAATAAAGTACCCTGTACCATATGGTACAAAGGTATGTTGAGTTTAATAATTTTGTGTGCTAGTGTCAGGTTACCCTGATCTACTATCAGTAGGTCCACTATTTAGGTTTTTATCTCTTGTTGACACATTCCGCACGTTGCAGTTAAAGTATCTCCTTTTTTTGAGCAGGGTGATGAACCTTCACATAAACAAATTCAGTTCTTCGTTTTCCTGGATACTGTACCAACGTGGGTTTTGTCTAAGTCCATTTTGTTTCTTGAATTGTCACCATTAGCATCAAGACTTCTGACTTCTCTCAGTTTTCCTCTAAAGACTCACTGAGAAGTTTGTGCCAACAGTTTCTCTGAGCCTGTTGGAAAGACATGCTGGAATGTCTGCTCTTCGTGGGTTTCTCACGGCTCTTTAACTGATCTTACTATTCTAAATATTTCTTGGGTTATTGCCCATATTGTTTCTAATAAGAACTCATGCTCTTCCACCCTAGCGCCTCAATACTGACACAAACTTAATGAGCAGCAGACCTTTTTGTAGATGACTGAGTTTCTAAGCTATTGTCTCCTTTCCTAACTTGGGCAAAGCCAGAATTTGCTATATTACAATAGAGTAAGATTCCCTGAGGCTGTTACTTCATTTTAAAACTAGTTGCTACCCATTGCGATGCACAAATTGCTGTGACATTGCAAGGGGTCCTGTGACATACAAGCTCTGGCACGTAGTCTGTCATTTTTGCCTCTAAGTAACGTTTTGAGAAAAGTACAAGCTTTCACTTTGTTAAATGCCAACTTGAAAAATGGAAATAAATTTGAGCTAAACAGGTAGAACTTAGTTTCCAACTCCCTTTTTTACTTCCTGAAAGAGGGATGGGGGAGGGGGGGTGTATAAGTGTTTCTTCAAAATGTGTTTGTCCCTGTAACAAGACATAGCAGTGCTGGCATTAAAAATTAAGGCAGAGATTTTTGTTTAAAAATTGTCTACTTAAATTCTATAAAAAGGAGAACCTGAAGAAAATAATGAAATAAAACAAACCAGCTATATGAAACGGTACTAAACTTTAGAGAAATCTCCACATGTTTAGTTTCCAAAGATCAGAAGCATTTTCTTATGGGCAGGTCTGTTAAACATTACATTGTGGAGTAAGACAGTCATCTAGTACTTCAAGCTAGAGAAATCGAGCTGTGCTAACTTCATTTAATTTTTATGCTAGCCCTTTGCTAATTGATAATTTTTAAGTATAATCTCATTTCATTATCACATTTTTTTTCCCAAAATTATCTGCATAAAATTTGTTTTCTCAAACAAGCCTGCATGTGTATTCCTTGCCGGCCAGCAAAAAAGGTAAGCTAGGGTATATAGAGATTATCTAACCAAAGTCCTCTGTGTCAAGTAAAGTCTTGCTCAGTTGTTTATGTTTATATTTCTCTGACAACTCTTCAGCAGCTGTACTGCTTTACTACTCTTTTAGAGAATGTGAAAATATATATACAGACTGGAGCCACACAAAGTACTCTCCATTGTCTTTTCACAATTAAAACCAAACAATAAATATTTGACTAGGAGAACCAAGACTGTGACAATTAGAGGGTTTTTTTATGTGCTTGCATATATGTGAATGTGTGGGTGACTCATTACTACTGGCAGCAAGGCACTGGCCCATTTTTTCCAAAAAAACATACAGCACTCCAATGTAGCAAAAGCTACAGCCGTACAGCGTAGCCAAGGTATGGATATAAAAGATCTTTTAACTGGAAATCAGTTTATGCTTATGTAAAAACTTTACATCAGGCACAAAGTGCCCCACAGCATTCCTCCCCCAACTGCATTGTGCTGCTGCTACAGGCACCCTGACCTTGCGGGCAAGTAGCTGCAAATGCTCTTGTTAGTTGTAATAAAGACTGGAGAAGAAAGGGGACAGAATTTCTCGAAATGCTTACATTTATACTTCATAAATGAATATGAACACAAGGCTTCACTGCAGCACAGACAGAATTTGATTTTGCCAGCCAGCCATGGACCACGGTCTGGCTGTCAGGGGGAACCCAAGAAAACTGGGCTTCCTCTTCCTGCTGTCCCCCGGGGATGGAGAGAGGGAGTGCTGCATACTGCTGGAGGAAAAAGTAATCCCATTCACTGCTAATCCCTCCTGGAGACACCCCAGGAGAAGCCAGTTGGCTTTCCTGGCTCTGTCAATGTCCACCTGGAATTTGTTTTGCTGCTGCTGCTTATGGTGCTGTGTTCATGTTGGTCACAATCACCTGCTCCTTGGCAGACACTGCAGGGTGACCGTAGCAGAAACTTCAAGCATTCGGGAGCCAATTATGGTAGATGCTAAGCACCTTTGTCTCCTATAAATTAAAACAAAGACTTACAGTCTGAGGAAAGAGGGAACTTTTAAAACTGCATAAAATCATAGAATCATGGAATGGTTTGGATTGGAAGGGACCTTAAAGATCATCTAGTTCCAAACTGCCATGGGCAGGGACACCCTCCACTAGACCACGTTGCCCAAAGCCTCATCCAACCTGGCCTTGAACGCTTCCAGGGAGGGGGCATCTACAACCTCTCTGGGCAACTTGTTCCAGAGCCTCAACACTCTAACAGTAAAGAATTTCTTCCTAACATCTCATCTAAATCGACCCTCCTTCAGCTTAAACCCATTACCCCTTGTCCTGTCACTACACTTCCACTACACTGGAAGGCTGCTATAAGGTCTCCCGGAGCCTTTTCTCCAGGCGAAAACAACCCCAACTCTCTCAGCCTGTCTTCA